CCACTGTGAGCACCCTGCACCTCTGTGAGCACCCTGTACCTCTGTGAGCACCCTGCATCTCTGTGAGCACCCTGCACCTCCTTCTGAGCACCCTGCACCTCTCTGTGAGCACCCTGCACCTCTTTCTGAGCACCCTGCACCTTTTCCTGAGCTCCCTGAACCTCCGTGAGCACCCTGAACCTGTAAGGAGGTGTCCCTGCCCATGGCAGAGGGGGTCGGGACTAGAGGTCCATTCCGATCCTGTGATTCTGTGATTCTCTCTGTGTGCACCCTGCACCCTGTGCTCCATCCATCCTGAGCACTGAACCCCACTGCACATCCTGTGCCCCGCTCCGTGTATCCCGTGCACTGCTCCCCGCTGTGTACCCCTCCCACCTCACTCCGTGCATCCCGTGTCCCGCCTGCCGCTGAGGTGATCTCACCTGTCACTGCCTGGCGCCGCCCTGGAGCATCCTGTGGCACCCTGGTGCTCTGTACCCACGGGATCAGGAGAGGCAGAAGCCGCGGGGCACCTTGACACGGCGTCTGTGTGGTCCCCTTTGTCCCCTGGGGAAGGCAGAGGTAGAACCACTGCCCCACTGGGACCAGGAACTGCTGCCACAGGGTGACATGGTCACTAAATGTTTGCAGGGATTCAAAGACCTAAAAGAAAATTTCTGGGAGCCCCCTGACAGCCATCCTCCCCCTGCTGCAACCAGCTTGTGCCCCTGATGCAGAAGAGCCTCTCTTCCAGTCAACACGAATCCATCCTGGAGCTGCCCTGTGCCTCCCCTCCCCATGCTGTGGTGCCCATTCCAAGGCAGTCACAGGCTGAACACAGAGGTCCCATCTGTGCTCTGTTTTGGGAGGCTCATATTAGTGCTGGAGCCTCTCAGGGGGGTGAGTGCAGCCCCACACCAAGAGCCACTTCTAGCAGGAGTAAAAGAGGAAAAACTCTCTTTTTCCTCAGGCACCCTCAGGTGCAGCTGCCTCCTGCTGCACAGTGCTGAGACCCATTCCCTGGAGCAGTGTCAGGTTGTTTCTGGCTAGGACATCTCCCACTGCTCATTTTTCTCAGCATTTTCTAATTTCTCAAACCTCTCTGGATGGCTTATGATGTGTGCTGGGCTCCACAGCTGGTGGGCAAGGGCTGGGTTTTCCCTGAGCTCTTGGTCCTGGATGTGAAACTCACTGCTGATACTGTGCTGCCCCAAGAAAGGGTTTGTGAAGGCCAAAGTACTTCTCCAACACTGTCCTGGCAGTGCTGGAGCACTGTGGGATGGGACGGGCTGTAGGGACCCTGTCCTGCAGCCTCACAGCCTTAGTCTGCACTTTTCCCATCAAAGGTCCAACTAGATTGGTCTCAGAAGCTTGGATGTGGTGATCCCATTCCTGTAATGAGCTCTGCCCTCATTAGAGTCTCCTAATTGAAGTGGGGAATTCCCAGTTTCTAACACTTAGCCTACTTCTTTGCTCCCATTTAAGTTCACTGCTTCTCAGTCATGGCAGACAGAACTGCCAACAACTCTGAAATCCTGTTTGTGCAGGATCAAAGTATGGCAGTGCAGACAGCCAGACAGTAAGGAACACCCTGACAGACACAGCCTCCCAGCAGGAGCACAATCCTGGCACCAGGACATTGCCACAACTTCTGACACAGGACTCTGAGTGTGCTAATGATGTGGGATGAGTTCTTCCACATGCCGTGTCCCTTCTGTACCCCCCTGTGCAGATCACAGAGCCTTTATCTCAGTGTAACTGGGTTTCATTTTCTTACATCCATTCCCATGAGAAAAACCCAAGGCTTTCTCCCTCCAGGTTGAGCAACCTGATCTGGTGGTAGGTGTCCCTGCTCATGACAGGGAGTGGAATGAGATGAGCTTTAAGATCCATCCCAAAACAAACCATTCTGTGATTTTATGATTCTGTGATAAGCCTCAAGACTTCAGCCTTGACAACTGACATGGGATTTCCTGGGTCTCGTGAGAGCACATCAGAGATACAGAACAGATGTCATTACTGGAGAATGAGCTCAAGCAAGCACATTTATTTGGATGCTTCACCAAACACTGCAGAGAGGCACAGAGTACATGGGAATTTGTGGCATGCAGCTTTTTTTGCCTGCTGTGAGTTCTGGAGGCAGCAAGGAAACTCTGATGTCACTCCAGGGCTGAGTGTCTTCATCCCACAGGGAAGGTACACGTGGAATCCACAAATTTCACAAGAGGTTTTTTTATTCTTGATTAGGCACGTAATAACAAGGAATCATTGGGAAGCACAGGGGAACAGAGCTGAGCAGAGGAGAGCCTGCACTCGGAGGGGGAGATTGGAAAGTGGCATTTCGCTAAAGCCCTGCTACCCTTGGGGTCCTTGCTCTGCTCCAGAGAGGCTCACACTCTTTGGCCATGTAGAGCCTTTGCAGAGTGTCCAGTGTGGACAGGAGGAGGAAGAAGCACTAACAATATGAAGCTGGTTTGATGAGGATAAGGGAGGATTTGCAGTTCCCCTTGCACAGGTTGCCCCATGTCATGCCGCCCTTATAATTCAGCCGCACGGAGTAACACGAGGAGAACCACCACCCACCCTCATAGCTGTAGGCACAGTTCTTACTGTAAGTGTCCTGGTCCCGATCCTTTGTGGAGAATTTCATGTTGTCGTGCATGTTGTTGGGATTGTCTGAGGTCATGGCATCCCCTGCTGTCCCATTGTAGGAGCCCAGCCTCAGCCTGTAGCCCTGGGATTCATCATCCAGGCTGAACAAGTTGTAGTCTGCAAAGCTGATGACATCTGCAGAGTCCTGCAGTTCTTACTGTAAGTGTCCTGGTCCCGATCCTTTGTGGAGAATTTCATGTTGTCGTGCATGTTGTTGGGATTGTCTGAGGTCATGGCATCCCCTGCTGTCCCATTGTAGGAGCCCAGCCTCAGCCTGTAGCCCTGGGATTCATCATCCAGGCTGAACAAGTTGTAGTCTGCAAAGCTGATGACATCTGCAGAGTCCTGGATGACAAACCTGACCTGGCTTCTGCTTGCAGCCTGTAGCCCTGGGATTCATCATCCAGGCTGAACAAGTTGTAGTCTGCAAAGCTGATGACATCTGCAGAGTCCTGGATGACAAACCTGACCTGGTAGACCTTCTGCTTGGCGATCTGGTGGATGTACTCCGTGCCCAGCCAGTACTCAGTGCGCACATTCCCAAATCCGTACTTGTAGGTGCTCCAGGACTCGGCCCAGGTGACTGGTGTGTCTCTCTGGTTTCTCTGGATCACGGTCCAGCCCCCGTTGGTCACATTCATCTCACAGTACACCACGAGGTGGTGGAGTCCTTTGGGCTGGATGATGTAGACACCACTGTGGCTGCCTCGGGGAATCTCGCTGCAGTCCTTGGGCCAACCTGGGGCTGGAGACAGAGATGGTTATTAAATCCCATACAGTGAGGCACTGAAAGCACAGGTTCTTTCTTTGGTGCCTAGATCCTTTTGCACACACATTCCTGGACTGTATTCCTGCTACATGCTCACAGGTGTAAACAACAATCTTGAAATGATCAATATAAGGCTTGAGCTTCACATCTTCCCAACACAGGATTCAAACTGATGGGGACATACTGCCACAATGTCTGGGCCTGGCAAGACCAAGCCAGACATTGCTGGCACACAAAGACGCTCACCCAGGTTGGGATCAGTCTCACAGTGCATGTGTAGAACATGGATAAAGTGTCTGAGAGCTCTTCATGAGCCCAGTGATGGTGAAACCTCCTGGGCAGACGCACTCCCTGAGCACAGACTCACCGTGGCTCGCTGGGGGGTGATGGGCGATGTCTCTGGCCTGTCGGACGTGTCCATCACCATCATCTAAATTAACAGAACAGAGAAGACAGGAGTGAGTGTGGCGAGCAAACACCCGAATGCCTGCTGGAGAGCATGATCTTCTCCAGGTGATAATCTTGGTTTTCTGCTGTCGTTCCTAATTCCAGAGGAAATTTTCAATGATAATGTCAAGTTGGTAGCTTGGGGAAGTTTATTTTGTGTTTGAGAGGAGAAAATGCTTTCTAGATGGAAAGGATTTGGGCACACTGTGTGGGGTCCCTGAATGATGGTGGCAGCAGCACTGGGAAAATGGTTGTTAAGGTGCAGCAGCAGCAGTTAGGAAGGGACTTAGGAAGAAGAGGGATTGGGAGGAGAAGAAGTGTGAGAGAAGACACAGGAAAACTGGTACAGGTATCAGGATCTGGGAGAGGGCTCTGCTCAGCTGGGTCAGAAGGCAATTTCAAGGGTGCTGCTGGAAGAGAGGTTGATTGAGTTAATGTACTTCTTTTTTTGCAAGAGCATCTTCTGTGTATCCACTGATGGCTGTAAAACAGAGGAATGAGTCACACACTAGTGGATTCACAAGAGTCATTCCTGTCCCCTCTCTGAAACAGACACCTAACCCTGCAGCTGCTGCTCTGACCACCTCAGATACCTGTTCCCTGCCATCCTCAGGTGCCTGTTCCTTGCTTTTACATGATGCTGCCCTACCCCCTCCCTTGTGGAGTGTTTAACTTAAGCCTCTTGCTCTGTGTATATGCCCATTCCTGACACAGTCTGCCTGCCAGATTTTTGACCCCTTTCCTTTTGACTCTCCACAGCCTGAGCCTGCATGGGGTGGGAAACACTCATGTGACGTGGTCTGGAGGACTTTCTTACTATGGAATTTACTCTTACTACATCCATATGAAGCTGTTCACTCATGTCCATTTTGTAAGCCAGTCTGCCCCTGCTCCTCTCCGTCTTCCCTCCCCATCCATTTGGAAGCACTCCTCCCCAAGTCAAGCCTTTGGAATGCTGGCCTGACTTCTCTGGCATGTGTCCCTGCTCACCCAGTTTGCCTTCATGCTGCTGACGTTTTCTGAGCACTCTACCAGTGGTCTGGGTGAGACATCACAGAATCACAGAATATCCCAAGTTGGAAGGGACCCACAAGGTTCATCAAGTCCAACTCCTGGCCCTGCACAGGACAACCCCAAAATGACACCACGTATTTGAGAGTGTTGAGATGAGGGTGAAACCCAGAGCACATCCCCTTTTTCTCCTCTGACTGCAGCTCTTGCAGGGTGAAGCCCAGGCCCTTGTCTCAGTCATGGTGCTCCCTGTGTGGGCAGTTTCCTGATAGCTGATGTGAAACCAGCACCAAACACTTGGACTTTGAGCTCTTCTGCCAAGAATTCTTCCTTCTCTCTTGGAAGGGAATGAGCTATTTATGTCATGTCAGGTCCCACCCACAGCCTCTGGGATTTTTTTTCCAGGAGCATTTCTCAAAGGTTTCCTGATTGCTCCAACATAGCCCAGTATTTGTAGGTTACTCAGTGCCACCCACCTGGCTCATTGCTCTGTGCCAGCACAACTGCTTGCATTCTGTATTAACTTCATTTAGTTCCTCTTTGTATTGAGGTCCTTGTTGAATTCAGTTCTCTGCTGATCTTGTGATTTCCAGAGGTCGAGACTGTTTTCCATGTCCTCAGAATACACTGGGAACATCTTTAACAGTGCTTATCCAAGGAGGAGCCCATGGGCCACAACCCCCTGGGCTTGCCCTTGCTGCCAATGAGACCAAACCTGTCCCTTCTCCTGAGATCCTGTGAATTCTGGGCTTTGGACTACTGGACTCCCTTAGACAGAGAAGAATTTCATGCCATGCAGGAGAAGATGCAGGCAACAAGCAGAGGAGGACCCTGAGGTGACTTTTGTTCCAATAAGGAATTCCACCTTGCCTGCCTGCACTCAGAGCACTATTTATTCCTTCCACGGTGTGACAGGGGTGTGGGCAAGCTGGTGAGGAGCTCTGTGACCAGGACCTTGTTTGTCCCTCCCTGTTGCAGGGCCACACTTACCAGGCTGGGAAGACTCTGGGGGAGCATTCATAATGTCATCCATGGTGCCATTGAGGAGATACAAGTTTCTAATGTCAATGTCAGGAAGACATGCTGTCAGGGCCAGCAGGCAGGTGAAAAGCAGGAGACAAAGGCACTGGGTAGCTGAAATGAGAAGAGATTGGAAAAAGAAGAAAGAGATCATAACTCCTCCATTAGAAAGCCACATTCCCCTACGAATGGTCAGGAAAAACTGGGTGGGAAGGAGATGCAGGGAGAGAATCAGACTCGTGTTTTCCGCTGGGGACAGCAGTGTGGTTTCAAGCACCTGACCTCCAGATCTGGATACCTGTTTAATATCACTCCTTAAGCAGGAATATCTAAGAAATCTGTTTTCTAGTCTGGGCTATTTAACTCTTTCTTTGAAGAACTGAAAATTACAAAGAATGGTAAATATGAGGCTTGTAAAATGGGCTGTCTGGCACTCCAGGGACTCACTGGTATAGAGTGGGAATAGCAGAACATGCAGGCTCCTGGCCCAGTTCCCAGCCCAGGGCACAGCAGGCACAGACAACACAATGGACTTGGAGGTGGGATATCCAGGGTGTGGGGAGGAGGGACCCTGCAGCAGACAAAGCATCAAGGTGCCCTGTGACCCACAGCCACATACAGCACTGCCATCCCATCCCACCCCATCTCATCCCACACTTACCCATGCTGTCTCTGCAGGGAGCTGGACAGTTTTGGCCTGGCTGGAAGGGTGTCCAGCCTGAAAGTTATAGGGCTCAGCAGGTGAGGGGGTGGAGGCACGAGACCCAAACCACAGCACTTGTCCTCTGGTTGGCAAGAGGACCAGTGGCTTAAGGCTTATTTGCTCTTCGCCATCAAGTGATAAGTCCTCAATGAGGTCTGTGTCTCACACAGATGAAGAGCTTTCTTCAGTGGCAATGCAAATAATTTGGTGCCAATAAGCAAATGCCTTAAAATAACCACAATGTACAGTGCCCAGCTGCCCCCCTGCCCTGGCAGGGCTTCCCCAGGGAACAACATTCTTGGGGCACCTCCACACAGCTCAGCTGGTAAGTAAATACCCAGACAATATTTCCCTCCTGGATGGAAATCAAACATCAAGCGTCAGTCGCTCTCTCCAGAGCCAGCACTGAGCTCAACAGCCTCTGGGGACACCATGGACCCTTCAGGGAAGAGGTACTCCAGTGTTCCTGGGAAACTGTGGCCCAAACTTCAGAAAGTGCCACTCCAGCTGCCTCCTGCCATCCCTGTCCCACCACTGCCACACTGCCCCTTGCGCAAGGGTCTCCCCTGGCACCGCCGTGGTCCTTGCAGCAGTCACGAGGGAGTTTTGAGCATCATGACGTGACATTGATGTAAAATGGTCTCACTTCAAGCCCCTCTCTGCTACAGGAGTGCTTACACCACAGATTTGTTACAGCAAATGCCAGATCTTTTTTTCCCAGGGATTGATGCCCCAAATGCCAGATCTTTTTTTCCCAGGGACTGATGACCAAGTAAGTGTTCTGAGTTATGAGGAGTCATGTACTCCAGCACTCACCTTGGGCTGGTGACCAGAGCCTGCGGAGAAGCAGACTGGGTTTTTGTCACAGGCTGTGCCTGTGTCACAGGCTGTGCCCTTGCAGCATGGCAGCCTGGCCATGGACACTCCTGTGCTGCCCTGCTGTGCTACTGCTGCCCAACAGCAGGTGCAAGCAAGGGCAGTCAGTGACCCTCAGCAGGGCTTCTCCAACAGCTTCCAGCCTCTGGACAGCTTTTCCAGGAGGTTGTGGCCCGTGTTGGGGTTAGGATGTGCAAAGTAGGTAGGGGGAAGGACACAGAGGGATTTCTCCAAACTCCCAGCTGTATCCTGGGGCCCAACTCCTGTTCAGTGCATGTTTCACAGAACCATGGAATGGTTTGTGTTGGAAGGGACATGAAAACTAGCTTGTTCCAGCTGCCTCTGGCATGGGCAGAGGCACCTTCCAAGGGCTCCCAGTCTCTAACCAAGCAAGCGAGAGTGACATTGAAGGGTTCAGGTGGAAGGTGATAATAGGATCACAGAGTTGGAAAAGCCCTCTAACGTCATTAAGACCAACCATCAAGCCTGCACCACCGTGTTCACCACTAAACCATGTTAAGTGCCACATCCACATGTTTTGTGAATGTTTCCAGGGATGGTGACTCCACCACTGCCCTGGGCAGCTGTGCCGGTGCTTGACAAGCCTTTCCATGAAGAAATTTTTCCTAATATCTAATCTAAACCTCCCCTGGTGCAACTTGAGGTGACTTTCTCTTGTCCTGCCCAGGAATCCCTTACCATGGATCCCTTACCTCAGAGAGCTCTGGATGCCTCTGTCCATCAAACCTGCAAGTGGCACTGCTTGATGCGAGCTCCCACAGTACAGTGCATTTGGTGGGAGCCTCAGCTTGACCCTGGCTTGTTGAGAACAGCAGGTCTGAAGCTGTGCCATGAAGACATCTGGTCAGAAACCAACACAGGAGAAGAAAGTAGAAGGACCACCTCCTAGATTTGGCTTGACAAAACAGTGGAGTTTCCTGCACCTCCTGACATGAAGAACAGCCCTCCAAAGCATCTGCCCTTAGAGAAGTTTGCTGCTGTAGAGAGATCAACTCCTGGTCAACATTTCTGGGGCTGGGGGTGGATCTGCACAATCTCACCAGGCCAAAGACAGGGATTTGGGAAGGAGAATGACAAAGGGACTCACAGGCACCTGTTTGTTACCTAGAGCCCTTGCTCAGAGCACCCAGATCAGGATGCCAGGGGACACTGTGTCTACAGTGGCTGTGGCTGCTGGACACTGGCTCCAGCCTAATGACTGATCCCAAAACCTGCCAGTGGAGAGTTAGGAAGCAGGTACCTCTCTCGAGGACCTGTCCTCCCTTTCCAAGGTCACCTTTGGGACTGGGCACATAGGAGACCTAATCTTTCCTCCTTTGCTAGTTTCTGTATGTCCTTAAAAAGCTGGGTCTCTCCAACTCTCTTTGATCACAGCTCTCCAAAATTTGCTCCAAGTGGGCAATTCACATGTAGTGTTTGTGTAGGGACAGTCAATAATTGAAATCCTTCATCGTGGAGGAGGTTATTCTGTACCTCTCTGGCTGGAAGGGCTTGTCTCCTTCCCCTCAGTTGTGCTGTCATGGGATCTGGAAACTGTTCGAGTCACAATCTGCAAGTGCCTCCTTGTGCCTCTAGAAATGATGAGTGTGACCACACATGGGTGTGTGCAGTGCCTATAAAGTCACCGTGGACAGCTGAGCATGGGAGGGTGCACTGCTGGGTTCCTGCTCTCTGCGCAGCCGTGCTGTCGTGATGGGTGAGTTCCCTGCCCAGATACACCTCATTCCTGTGTGGTGTTGGGCTCAAATGAGACCTGATGGGGTGAGTATGCAAAGACACAGAGGATGAGCAGAAGAGCAGCTGCCAGCTTGCCTGGAGGAGGCACACTGGGAGCAGGAGGGATGCCAGACCAAAGCACCAAACAATACATATGCTTGGTGCTAGTCTGTGCCTGTTCCAGGGTACCTGTGCCCTGTGTTCTCCCATCCTGGTGAGGGAGGTTAAGGCAGAAACCTAAGCTTCACCTTTTTCCTTTCTCTTCCCAAACAATGCATGTGGCATGTGTGGTTGTACAGGGCTCTTGCCCCAGGCATAGTGGTATCTCCCCCAGGAGCTGAGTGAGTGCAGGGTGTAAGGGTGTGCTGGTGGCCAGCACACAGGGTTTGTTTGGGCTTGTGTGCCTGTGTGTGCCCAGGAGACTTCCTCCTGTCTGCCTGGGAGCTGGTGTGCAGCAGGACCTATCCTTTGGGTTAGTTTCCCTCTAGCTGTTGTTGAGCTGGAGTGGCTGGTATTATATACTGTCCTCAGATCTAGCTGTGTCATTGCCCTCTCTTAGCTACTCTTGGGCTGTAGGTTCCAAGAGCAAACGGCAGGTTGCTGTGTGGGGCTGATCAGGAGGGTGACAGTGCCATTTCTCACCTTGCTTCAGCCCTGCAGGGCAGAGCCTGTCACCAAGCTGCAGCTCCCACCACCCCAGGGCCCTCTTGCTCCTGCCTGTGCCTTGGCTCTGCCTTCTCTGCTCTGAGCATCCTGGGGATTGCCCAGGGATCCTGATGGTGATGGGCACTTTCCTCCCCAGGGCTCCAGGCTGGGACAAGTTTGCTCCACCGGGAGCTTGTCCTCCTGCCCACCATGGTGGCCATGCTTCTCCTCTGTGCCA